AAAAAAAAAAAAAAAAACACCATGGGATCCTTTCTTTCCATCCGCAGCTGATGGATGGATATGAATTGATTGTGATGAAGAGAGAACTGAGCCAATTTTTTCCTCATGGAAGGTGCAAGATACCTAGGTACGTGAAACAAAGGGTCAGGGAGGCCAAAGATGTCATGATGCGCGATCACGTTGAGGAAGAGAAGTGGAGGCCAGCCAGAAAGCTGGGAGCTCGGGAGGCTTATGTACACGATTCTTCGTCACCTACCGGACTTCCAATTAGCTATCTGGCTTATTTTAGGAATCGCTTCGTTCCTTCCTTGCCAGTCTTGGTCTGTCTCCCTCCTGCTGCGAGCTGAGCAAGATGGGTTCCTTCCTTGCCCGCGACAGCCTGCTCCTCATAGCAACCTAGGAGTCCATTCCGTGATTGAACTGTTACCTTCCCGCATAATGGAGAGAGTAAGTAGGTACGGCCGACCGTATACGCAGGCACGAGGCAGGCTTACATTGCTTGCTCCTGATAATATGAAGATACGTAATCTTCTCGAAGTGGTGCAGATACTACCGGTCGTTCTTTCCCTCATCTAACGCTTTGCGGCAAAGATGATGAAGGGTGCGGAACGACTTGTGTGTGCCTTGTGGGATTGTCTCATGGTATGATGGAATTCGTGGCTCAGGTTGAACCTTGATATCGGTATACGTTGGAGGCTTGTAACCACCTGCCAATATTGAATAAAGGTAGCATAGAATGAGGTGGATGAAGGTTCGGTACATCGGTGTGCGAATGTTCCGTCTTCGAGCCAATGATGCCGAGCTTCAATGTGCCTTGACTGACATGTAAGCGACGCAGGCCATTTAATATGGACACTCAACAAGAAATCCTTTCAGTGGTTGATGTTGAAGAGGGAAATTATTTTCGCTATGATGAAGATCAACTATAAAGTGGTATCATAAAAGAGAGGAAATAACAGAAAGATCCCATGATGTCAAACCCAACCCAGAAACGCCAGCGCCATTAGTTCAGTTTGCCCTTCCTCCTTTCCCCCTCTCGTGTTTCCTTTTTTATCCTTTGCGCTAAACATTCCAACCACCCACAACCATGCCATAAGACAAACAATCATGCAACTAACTCAATCAATCCCAAACGCGACATGCTCCGCCTCCCACTTGAGGAAATCTCCCAAGTCATGATCTAAATTGAACCCCATCGGAATCACATACTCCTGGCCATTCACATCCCGTGACACCACCATGTTGAGCGCCGGGCTCTGCGGTAGACTCTTTATACTTTCTTGCGACTCGTTGCGGCGGTGGCGCGGTCCCTGTTGCTCTCCCTGCCGCCAAGTGCGGGCGCGGGCCGCGTCGATTGCTTGCGGAATTTTCTTGGCTGTTTGCTTTGTCGGTTGTGCTTTTTGTTGTTGTTGGGTTTGGGTCGGGACTATTGACGACGAAAGGTCCGTTTGTTCCTCGTATTGGAAAGCAAAACCGGGAAGAAAGGGAGACTCGGATCGTTGGATGGTTGGTGATGAACCAAAAAGTGAAGATGATGTTAGCCCAAGGGAGGATTGTTGTTGTGGCGTCCCGGGTCTTCGAGTGTCTTGTTGTTGGAACCGGGATGTGGGAGTCTTTGTTGGCGTAGACGTTCGCAGTATTGGTGATTGATTGCGGTTGATTGATGTTGGAACAGGGGTGTTGTCGTTGTTGGTGTTGGCGGTATCGCTTGAACTGCGACCACGGCTATGGTCCCGGCGAGCGGTGGGATGCGATGTTGGCGCTGGAAAAGGTGACGGCGAGTAACTCCAGCTCTGGCTGTGGGCGTGACCATAAGGGGTGTTGGTGGTAGGTTTGTCCGAATGGTCCCTAGATTGACGTTCGATAGGCCAGGCTGATGAAGGTGCCTCTCGTGATATCCAGGGCAGATAGTGTTGTTGCTGCGTCTGGTGAGCAGCAATGTGAGTCGTAGGGGCTTGGGAAGGAAGATACTCGTTGACGCTTGCCGAGCGCTCATGGGATTGTTTTCGGTCCCAGTCGTATGCTTGCAGATGCTGAATCCGGCGAAGTTCGTTCCAGGTTGGTCCTCTGCCGCTGCTGTTGCTGTCTGCAATCCCTAGTCGACCCATGTTCAAGGAGCCACCAACACTCGTGGAATGCGTATGTAGGCGGGCATGTTCTTGTCTGAGATATTCTTGTCTGACCAGCCTGCGCTCAATCTGCTCTTCGACGGTCGGAATGGTCCTCAACGTACCATACCCATCGAACCCGAAATCGGAAAACCAGGCGATAATGTCGTCGCGCTCATTAAGTTCAGCATCCGAAGGCCGTGAGTAGTCAAGGGGGTCGCTGTCAAAGTCGCCGATACCGCTCCCTATCGAAATTTGGAACGCTACCCAGTCAAGACCATCTTCGGCATTCGCGGCGAGCTGGTTGATGGGAGGCTCGGGCTTGGGTATTCGGATGGGTCCGTGACGGAAGGATGGTATCGTCAGAGTGTATTGTGTGCCTTTGAGAAGAATAAAATCGTCATTGCTGGCATCGGAGCCAAATCCAGGTGACGGGGCTGATGTAGGTGTCAACATCGAACTGGTGATACCCTCAGGAATAGTCGGAAGGGGAGGTAGTTGCCTGGATGGAGTGCGCCGCGGTACTGGCCTGATGGGACCGGTGGTGGAAAGTGTAAGATGTGCGATACTCGGGGGCTTAAGAGGTTGTTGGGCTTCTGCTTCTTCAAGGCGAAACATAATGGGTAGACTGTGTTCCTTCCCATCCTCTGCTAAGACGACGGGAGGGCCTCTCGGCCGGGTCTCTTTCTGCCCATCTTCTTGCAACTGCTGCTTTGGTGTTGCGCAGTCATCTCTGGTGATCTCGGCCTGACCAAATAAAGACGGTCGTGCCGTCCCAAGTGGAGGAGTTGCCAAAGTGACAGTCAAGCTCACGCCGGCATTGTCGATCCGTGTCGGCAAGTCGGCGAGGTGAAACGGTTCGACAGGCGTAACGGGCTGCTGAGATGGTTGATCATCCTCTTGACCAGTTGTCTTCATTTCATCATTCATCGCTGAATGGGCTAGACAAGCTCTGTCCATTATTTCCTGCAGGATGCTTTCCGGCAGCACCTCGTCCGCTTCGATAGGGTTGAAGCGCTCGATTAAATTCCGGGCAGTGTCTGGTAGTTCCCATTTTGACCCGTGTGTGCTGGCTATGCGCGGCCGCCTTTGGGATTTCTTTGACTTCTTTCTCTTTGTCCGGCTGGCCGAGGCAAACCTTGCCGGGCTTGTGAGCAAGAAAGACCTTTTGGAGGGCTGTATGAAGGATTGCAATGATGCCTGACTTCTTCTTCGCGCTTTGTTCCACTGGGAGGGAGTATGTACAGGCGTCAAAGGCTTTGTGTGATTTGCCGAGTAATATGTTGTCGGCGGGATTACAAGCGCCGGTAACGGCAGCTTTATTTCGATCGGGGACCGTTGTGGCTGAAATTCCCTATCCATCTCCGGAATGAGCTGCTGAATGTCGTTTGAATATCCATTGCTTGGTAGACGTTGTTGCTCTCGAGAGCCGGCATAGCCTTCGGCAATCTCCTCTGTGGATATAGATTGATGGTTGATCCCCAGACCAGTCAAGGTAATACTTGGTCGACGAATCGAATAATCCTGCTTCGGCTCGTCTTGTTGCAGGGGAGGTGAGGGCGGTAGAAGGATGATTTGGTGTACCTCTTGTGTGATTGGTGTTCTGGGAGGCGTCCTCGGCGACGTGCTGGAGTGCTTGCTTCTCCCTCGGGTTTGCTGTGGCTGGTGCTCCAGGTGTTCAGGACAAAGAAGTGGACTCCTCTGAGGACTTTGGCTTCCGACACGCTGGGAAGAACATTGAGGGCTGGTGTGGTCTGTGCTATAGCCGCAGCTGGACAAAGAAGACCTTGATGAGAGCGGAGTGTCGGGAAGGGGTGGGATAAAAGTGAGTATCTTATGAAGGTCTTCTTTCTTCGGAACATCCAGATCAGGCTTTGAACTCCTTCGGAGACCCCATGACCGCATTTTAAGCTCTCTGTAGACCGACCTGTAGCCTTCATCGTCGTGATGAAAGTAAGAGCCCTCGTATTTCTCGACAAACAGAGTCTTCTTCGGGGAGACAAGCTTTCGGATTGTGGATCCCGGCTTTGACAACATCTTGGCCGGAACCCCCCGGGCATAAATGGAAGGTGAAAGGACTAGGGTAGAGGTGTGAATCTGGCTTTGCACATGGCGCGTACAGGACGAAGCGAAATGATAGAAGTTGTGGGTGCCGAAAGGTGTAATTTTTGCTTTGCAGTTATGGAACTCTCAACCAACTGTGATGATACCAACGAGATGGCGAAGGAACGTGGGCCAAAAGACAAAACGGAAAGCAAGGCATGGGAGGTGAGTGATAATATTCGCAAGTGGCCGCCCTGACGGTAGTGTCGGAATGCTGGGGCCTGGGACCTTTGTCGATGTGTGTTGTACGACCCGTATAAATTACGGCTGACCCGCATCGTTGGGTTGGTCTTCGCACTTGCAAAGGGGGGCAACTAGAAATAATGGACGCCTGAGAGACGGGTAGAGTAGCATGGAGGAGTTTCTGTACCGAGAGTGGCGTGGTGACGCACGTCATACTCCATCATCGTTCCCTCGTTCTCATCGTGGGTGTGCAGTAGGTTTTCTTAGAGTGCCGAGTTCGGCGAGGAATGGTGTTGTTGGTGTCTGTATCCGTTCAGGAAGCCATCCGCGGGCAAGGGATGAGAATGTGATATCCGCGGGTCAACATCCATGTTGGCCGCAGATAGTGCCTCGACTGGCGCCCCAGGTGGTTGCTGTCCAGACTCAGCATCATCTCTGAGACTAGTTGGATGTTGTTTGGGGATCATTCCAAAGCATCCCCGGTCAATTCAACCCTAGCTGCAGGCTCTACTACCCTGGTTCTCTCCATCCACCTCAGGATCGGCCCTGGGGTCGAGATTGGTGATGCCATTGGCCAGCAGGGCTGCAAGCTTCTATTTCGGCCCCCTTTCAGTAGCTCAAACAGACCTACGGTAGCGTTGCAGCCCGCTTCGTACATACCCGCCCACAGGTCGAGGACGACATAGTCCTTTGCAGCATTCCCGACCCCCAAATGGTAACCTGTGACACAGCCAGATCACGCATACCACTTTTGGTATGAGTGGAAGATGCACGGAATGGTTCGAGAGAGCAAAATGGAAGGGTGGCAAAACACACACTGCTTAGAGCCAGCCATCCAACCAGCTGAGACTCAGGTCAGTGTTTGGGGCAGCACTCACCCATATACATATAGCGACCAGTGCATAGGGCTATTCCTTTAACTTGATGGGTAGCAGTGGACGACTTGGTGGGTTTACACAACAGCGGCGACCGGCGTTAGAATAGCGAGTTTATCGATTGACCGGGTCTCCGTAGATTGCTGTGTTCCCAGAATTTCCGCGCGAACAGATGACAGGACTCCGGCCGCATTTCTTTACTCGATGCCGACTGGACTTGCCCGTATGCCTCACTGGCGAATTAAAGACCTCGGCCGTGGATGTCAGTGCCAACCACAAGCGTGTTCCGTAGCACAAATCCAAGCTGCTTATCTGGATACCTTCCTCTGGCCTCATGCGCGGGTCTCGAGAACCGAACGGAAGACCACTTGTTCGCCTTGTAAGGTGGCGTTCGTGACCGTTTAACACGTTTTCCAGGAAGGCTCGTAGGGTATGGCGAGAGCGCAGTATGGCCAAGTCTCTCACACGCCGGTCATAAGTGGCTGAATTTGGAGGTATGTGGTTTGTTCTCGGAAGGTCTGGATACACCTCGGCAACCCCTGTCGGAGGAGAGAGAATCAAAGTCAGTATTGAGACGACGGACTATTAAGGCAAGGCATTTCCACGCTCAGACTTGGGTCCTGGACAAGGCACAGGTAATTGTTCGTGACGCCGTAAGATGTTGAGGTTGAGAATCTCGTCTCTCGATGATGGATTGCTGCTGCCTCCACGCCTCCTCTAGACTGAACTGACTGAAGCATGGAGCATCTTGTGTTGCTTTACCGACACTCAGTCACTCATCGTGTTTGCCAAAACTCGCGAATAATCTCTTTCATCAATCAGGCAGCTGCTGTCAAGGCCGGATACGCCGTCAAGTCGTCTACCCCCAACCTCCATTGGCGCAAAGAGCTGAGTCTGCGGCGTCTCAGCAATGATTGGGGGTTGGCTCCATTAGTCAGGTCCTTTCCTGAAGGTGTTGTCCTGTCGGTAGCAGACCGAGGGAAGTGTGTGTGGACCGGCGTGTGGCGGAGGCTGAAAGGTTCTTGACCACGCGGAGATGAGATGCGGGAGATGAAGATGACGGTGAGATGGCTGTCGACCGGACGAGTCCGAACTGCCCCTGGGTGGGAAAGCACCAACAGCGCTGCAAGAACCAAAAACCCCACTGAAATGGAGAGGAGTCTCCACTAAAACGTCAGGTACACATGCAAGCTGTAGGTACCTGCCCACTGAGCCGCTACATGTTGCCGGATGCCGTGCGCTAAGGAGCGGGAAGGTGCGAACATCTGGGGCTCCTGGGGTTGGGACCAAACAGTGAGGAGTGAGTGGAGGAGGCCCAGGTGATCCTTCCCTTCCTTCCATCCATCCTTTCCTTCCACTTGTCACTTTTTCTCTTCAACATCACATCATCACCTACATCTCTTTCCCACTTTACAACATCCCTCGCAGAAAACCAACACCATCACAAGTCACATTGGACAACATCTATGGGATACCAGAAACGAATCGATTGGCTTCCTGGTATTGCAGCAACAAGCATCGGCACATCGAACCCGTCGATTTTGTACCACGTCGATACCGCACACATGCGAGATTCGCTCCTGTCACCAACGCCGTCACCAACGTGATTCTTCCCCTGCCGAGACCATTAAATTTGATCCAAGCACCATGATCCTCGAATTCTGCTCCTGAATTGCCGCGCTTGTACAGCCGCGCCGCTTCTTCAGTACTAATCTCTGCGGCTATCACCACCAACCACAAGCCATTATTGGTGCTGCGCCACGCCCATTATCACCATCACTGCCCCTCCCAACTCGGATACGATTCAAAGCTTACACAGAGCCTCTCGAGCGCGTCTCAGAGTCACATAGCTGATGTGCAGATGCGGGAACGGCTATGTTGATGTGCAGTTCCTGGTGTTGCGCTAATGCCAGGGGTATCCCCATTACTCCTGGGTGCTGGTCCTGGCTACTACTCACTGCTCAGCTAGGTATACGACTGACCAGCTTCGGACTATCTACACCTTGACCTGTTCGCCGGTCTCCATCGAGATGAACCCTTCGAGAGCCCTTGGGGACCCCATGGCCCCCATACGTCTGTTCTCCACGGCGTACTCGTCATCTGATCAGCTTGGCCTCCGCCTATCTGGCCGTTCAGTTGCTGTGGACTCTCCATATCTCGATGCAAGACAAAGACGGCGTAGCTCATCTCTTAATTCGAGAATACCGGTCTCTTTGGCCATCTTCGAGGGCTTCGGGCAGCCACGGCTTCGACTTACCGTTCACAAGTGCCCCTTCTCAACAATGGTCAGCCTAGGAATGCTTAGGAACTTCCTACAACGGTTCAATATTTCGACAACAATATCCCAGGTGTGTTGGGGGCAAAGCTGTTTCACGCAAACCCAGGAGAAATTGACTTGAAATCCATCCTCTCCACTCAATATTGGAGTCGTCTCGACGGTCACAAGTCTCGCCCTTTAACCAGAGCAACTGCGCCTCGAGTATTGTGTTGCCTAGGAGTCCAAAGAGTTGGGGTACCATCGCCACCATTGCCTGCTTCAACCGTATTTCTGCTGCTCCTATCGGACTACGTTTCCCCTGCGGCGAGCCCTTTATTGCTTGGTCACAGCGGACCACCCATCACGGATCTAAAGATCCTTGCCAACCATCTGTCCTCAAATGTTGGACCAGGTCGCTTGAAGTCTCTCGCCTCCTGTAACGCGGCCCGTGTTGAGGGCTTCATGATGTGTGGACTGATTGGATGTTCGCTGGGATTGTCGAGGCAGCATAGCATGCTGGACTAGGCTCGTCCCGTGGAACCAAACTTGAGGCGGTGTCTCGTGCTTGAGGGCGTAGTCTGCCTCATCAACATCGTGCTCCACAAAGACGCCTAAGGCTTGCCGCCAGTCAGCCCGTTGTACTTTCAAAAGAACATCCTTGTTTATTACTCACTAACAAGTTGTGCCTCAGGTGGAATATCTCTTCACGGCTTGCCCATCGATTTGGTCAAAGGACATCATTTGCTCGGTCCATGTTTCTCGACCTGGTTGTCTTGAGGTGGGAAGTCGCTGCGTGAGTCGGCGTATGGACATATTTCTTGCCTGATGCCTCCGACGCGGGTTTAGATTCCTTTGATGATCGGCTCAAACAGCGCGTCAATGATTCGACCGAGCCCTTGAACAAGCCAAGTGGCGAGCGTGCTGGTTTGGTGTCCATCTGTGCCTCCCTTCCATTTCTTTCCAAGTCGCTGTTGTTGTCGCCCAGCATTTCGTCGAATATTCTTGAGCAATTGGCGTCAAGGACAAAATAAGGAAGTGTGAAGAGGCGAGCGAGGTCTTGATATATCACTTCTCTCCCTTGCAAGCTTACGGGCCGGAAGGGCTTATGTGTGAAGCAGGTAAGACCATTGACGAGAAGATCACTCCCGTCGGCAAATTTCAGCCACAAGCGTGGAGGTCTTTTTCTTGCTTTTATACCTCCTGAACGCGCGGACACTTTTGCATTTCCTTCCAAGGCCTCCCGCGGTTCACACCAAGATGGTGTCTTGGCGGTGCAGCCCTATCCCAATGAGACCAGTCACGATATCACCACTATGACCTGAATCATCGAGCTAATGTACGTCTCACGGACTGTCAGAACTAGAGCTGCAGCATATCGATGATCGCTCGGAACCAGTGAGATTCATCCGGAATAGTCTATTGTCATTGCATGACAAACGACGCCTCGAATAAGGTTATTTCTCCAAGACGTAGTTCAAAAATCCCTACGGAATAATGGGCAATTGTTTTCCTTACCCTCAATGCTGTGTTGACCATCCCGAATATCCGGCATTACCGCTTCAGATTCCAAGCTCGCCGGTCGTGTGGTTGACACCCTCTGACGGTTTTTGATGGGCTACCAGTTTCAGTTTGGTGGTGTGACACGCCGCTTTATAAGCCCACAAAAACCTCCAACCTATCGCGAATGACTTCGGTTGCTGACGTTCGCTGACACTGCCGCCCGTGGTGAGTTTGTGCCTTTGGTGGCGTCCTGGGGAACCGGTTCGAAGGTCATTCCGCGGGCCAAGAGGAGGGTACAACAGGTAGCCACTGGGTGGCTTGAGGGAAGGCCTAGAGCCTCACATACAATCTTGATTGGAATATCTGTCAACACCTTGTGCCCTCCTTCATCTATCCTTTCATAATTGAGGGTGTCCTCATGGCGATGTGCGGCATCCATGAGCGAGATTGGAGCGGCAGCTGGATTATTCATGACCTGTTGTGTGGAGCTGCAGCGTACAACCTTGTTCGCTGTGCAAAAGTCCCAGATGCTGATGAACGAGACGATGCCGGGCAGTTTAACTGGACTCTGCGATACTGACTGGGCTGGCTGATACTGAACTGGAATCTCGGTTTTCCAGTCTTTTGGATCACTCGAGGGAAACACAAGGCAAGTCAGTAGTGAAAAGGGACAGGAACGACAAGATTTCGCGAGGACGGACCCAGAAGGTTAGTCTCCGTGTCCTTGCGGCAATGATTTGGACCCAGTCAGTGTTAGTTCCAAACATCAGCATCGATTTCGTAAGATCTACTTATATATCAATACAGGAGGACATTACTTGCATGCTCAAATGTTTTCCTCGCCATTCCTATTGACGGTCTAGACCTCACGGCTATATCTCAGAGCCTTGGGCTTATTTGAACAATCGTAAGATCTTTTAGGGTGAGATGAGACCAGAGCTTGCCTCTGCACAGTTACCTCGGACTATTTGCCACTCATTCGTCACTCGGCCATAAAACATCAAACTATCATCGTCACGACTACTTCGCCTTGTCAATCTAGTTCTGATGTTAAGCCACTCTTGATTGTGATCAATTTCGCTGGCGAGGAGGAGCTATCGAAGAGTGACATGAGGAAGAAAAATACCCAGGAGAGCCAAGCCAAGAACGGGCTGGCTTGCCTCCATACATCTAACTTTCGCCCAAGCCAACCACCTCAGCCAGCCTCACCAACGGTTTGTGTGACGACTTGGGCCAAGCGAAAAGCCACTCTCTTCTCTCAGTTGTGCTGATATGTTTATAAGTCAAACCCACCAGTGACTAGTGACTCCAGTGCGCCTGCTGGACTTATGTACATTAAGATTGCATTTGTTTTCGTACGAAGTTGTCATAGAGTTGGCCGCCGTATAATTTTATACGCATCGTACAGTTTTTTTTCTGTACGATGCGTACAACCTTCTACACCCCCCTCATACTGCATCTATACTGCAAAATACGTACAGCTGTACTCAAATTTCAACCATATGTACATTTTGGGGCTTCTGTACGATTTTCTATTCATACAAAACCCTAACCCGGACAAAGCTATGCGAAGCTATCATGAGGGGGTCGCAACTTTGAAATCTGTACGAAATCCCACCAAATGCGTGGTTTTTTTTGCGTACAGCGTACAGAAAATGCCGTACAGAAGCCTTTATAACAACTTCGTACAAGAACAAATGCAGTCTAAGGACAGGAAGTAGCGAAGGAGTTGCCGAGAAAAAAACACTTAAAGACGAAAGAGAGAAGGAACGGATGTCGTAGGCAGGTAGGTAGATTGTACCTTCCTCGTATGGTTTGCTACAGGCTATATACCTAAGGTACCTACATCAACACACCCTAGGCACAAAAGAGAACGAGAGAAGGAAGTGAATGAAGAGCATCCATCGATTGGGTGAGTGTTCATCATAAAATTGATGACTTGATGACTAAATGACTCGATGACCCCATCCATGCAAATAACTGAATCAACTCGCTCGTTTGTTGGGTAATGAACGAATATTCAAATTGCAATGTTTGGTTGTTGTCGGTCTCAAAGTATCCAATGAGGGGTGGGCTCTTTTGAATTCCTAGATCCAATCCCAAGAGAGACATGATGGCGACCTATCCAAGGTAGATTGAACCCTTTCCGAGAATGGTTGGTTAGATATCTAGAGGCGAGAGAAGCCTCTCTTCCACTTCAAGTACAAATGAGCCTGAGCTGTGCCAGGTGTTTGACGAGTGGAGGACTGGCTTGAGAGCAAGGGTTTGTGAAGCGATGGAGTGAAGTAACGATTGAACGCACGACAAGAAAAAAAATAGACGGGAAAAAAACATGCTGCTTAATCGTTTGGAAAGCGAACTCGTTAGCTTCGTAGTCGGTGATACCTTACCGCCGAGTGTCACGAGTTGACTTCCCATCACTTCCTGTTGACGAACAACTTGCTTGGGTATCATATTATAAAGACGTTTGCAGCATGACATATGTTGAAAGTTACCAGTCAACTGGTACATATTCATTTTTATGTGTATGTCCGTGTGATGATGATCATGGGCTTTCCCTTCCAGTCATTTGATCCCAATACTCCAAAGAAAATAATAGCGCAAGCACTCACTGTTCAGACGATCCAGGACAGTGACGACTAACGAAACAAAACCAACAAGAGATGCACAACGGGTGAATTTGGATAGGCAGTTTGCGCATAATATGTATTTCCGTGAATGCCGATGAATGGTATCGTATATAAACATCTGCTTATGCAAGATCCAAACATTTGTTCCCTGCTTCCTTAGTTCCACCTGCTTTCCAGTTTCCACACAACACATTTCGCAACCGACCGCAAGCACCCTCATCCACCCCGTCGTTTTCACCCCTTGTTCCTTCCTTCTGCCAGTACCAGCTGGTGACTAGCAAGCATGATACCTAACACATAATTCCAGCGAAGTCCTCCTTGTTGCTACCGATTTGTTACACCTCTTCAAAACCCCATTACACAAAACTTGGCGTGTTTTCTTTGCATCCCTCCCTCCGCTCCTCCCAATTACTTCCTCACACTTCTTCTCATGGTACCCGTGCGCTCTGTATATCTCGGAGATCATCATACGGGGCATCGACCTAGTAGTCGTGCACGCTTCACATTCCCAGGCGTGCTCGTCTGGGCCAACCATATGGTACGGAGACTTGTGGTACTGGGAATACCCTGGCTCCGGATAGCAGCCGAGACACAAGAACGAACAACCATCACCATGGACTCTGAGCATGGGACCCTGTTACATGAGTTCCACTGTCTTGCGCTCGTAGTAGTGATGGAATGAAGCTGGATATGATTAAACTCAATGAGCCGTCAAACTGAAGCTTCGCAGCAGCAACCTAATTCCCGATCCGTCCGATCATCACTATGGTTCCCCATCGTACTTGAGAACCAATTCTTCGATCTTGGGTATCAACTCAGGTAGTCTGAAGGGTTTGGAAATGACGTCATCCTACACGGAAAAAAATTCGGTCAGCAGACATTCCTTCGCTCTTTCCTTTTTCCCGGAAAAGAACCCTGATCAGGGGGGGACTTACCACACCAGCGGCCCTGGCACTTTCGACCTGCTCAGGCCGTGCGTACGCAGTGACGGCAATAATAGGAATATGCCGCGTAATGACGCCCGCACCTTCTAGACGACGAATTTCGCGAGTGCAGCTCATTCCGTCCATGACCGGCATCTCGAGGTCCATGAGGATGACAGAAATGTTCTTGTTATTTTCTTCACCATCGGGCGCGCTATCGGGCGCGCCATCAGTACCACCATCACTTGCGGGGTTTTTGTTGCTTTTCGGGAGAGCTGATGCAGCCTCGTCCGTCGCAGCGATCTCCTGATTCCAGAAGCGAGACTTGCTCAACTCCACCAAGGCCTCTCCGCCATGGTTGGCCACGTACGTGTTGTTCCCCGACAATTGCAGTTGACGTTGCAGGACTCTCTGATTCACCAAATTATCTTCGACAATGAGGACGTCAAGGGATCTGGTCTGAGTGACGTCCGTGAGGGCCGGAGCGGATTGTGTTCTGGTAGGTGGCGGATGTGACCGGCCGTGTCCGAGCAGAGAGAATGCGGCTGATCCTGATGAGCGGTGGCTGATCTGAGCCTGAGTTAGTGGGCTGACACGCTGCTGAAGTGGCTGTATGGACATCGAGTTGTCGACAACAGTCTGGACCGGCTGCGGGTTCTCCGCTTTACGACTTTTCACATAGAAAGCAAATGTGCTTCCCTCGCCCTTCTCGGAATAGACTCCAATCTGGCCACCTTGTAACTCGGTTAGTATCCGACAGATGAAGAGGCCTAGCCCAGATCCGCCGTATTGGACGTGGGTTCGGGGGCTGGTCTGCGAAAATCGCTGGAAGAGAATCTTCTTTTCATTCTCATCAAGACCCGGCCCGGTGTCTGAAACTGCCAAGTGCAAGTTGATCTTTTCGCCGGTAGCCCACTCTGCGTCGTCCGTAAGATCCTCTTGGTCTGGATGCCGTGGTGGGAAATACGAAAGCCCGGCCGATGACACATCTTTTGAGGCGCCTAAGTTGATAGTGATTGCCCGTGTCGGTCGGCCCTGGGTGAATTTGATGGCATTGGTCATGAGGTTGATGAGGACCTGTTTCAGGCGTGATGGATCCAGCTTCACCCAGTCAACTTCGAGATTGCGATACGACTGCTCGATCTGGAAATGACCTTTGATGTCATTGGAGTTGAGTTCGGCTTCGAACATCTTCAGGACTTCCTCCACAACCTGGACTGGCTGAACATCGACCGGTGTCACAAGCAAGAGTTGCGAGTCGAGTTTCGAGAGCGTCAAGATGTCGTCGACGATTCGCTTCTGGTGGCTAGCGCAGAGGGAAATGGTATTGGCGGCTTCCAAGCAGCTACCAACCAGCGTCTCCAAAGTGTCAGGTCCACGAAATGCCGGATCGTCCTGCCGGTACTTGTTAAGTCCCGAGGCAATTTCGTCGGCACACTGAAGAATGGCACTAAGGGGATTTCTCATTTCATGGCTGGTGATGTCGATGAAGTTCTCTTGTTGGCGTTTGAGTTCAACAGCCTCATCGCGCCTTCGTTTCTGGAAATCCTCGGCCCATTTTTGCTGCGAGATATCGGTTATACAACCAAAGATGCTCTTGAGTTCACCGGTTTCGTCTCGTTCGGGGTAGGCGCTCATTAGTGCCCACGTATCAACGGTGTGGCCATCGACAATTTTCCGCGTACCGTTGAATCGAAACTCGTAAGTCACCGGCACCTTCTCCTCGACCAAGTGACGCCAGACATCCACAACACCATCGCGGTCTTCGTCTCTTATGCTCTGCATCCAAGCGTCGAGGGTGCTTGCACTCCGCTCATGCCCGGATATCCTCCACCACATCTCGTTACAGTAGTTGATACGTCCATGGCTATCGGCGATGAACAAACCGACAGGGCCAAGTTCCGCCATGCGCGCAAAGCGATACTCGCTCTCAACAGCCTCTTGCGTCCGAAGATGAAGCTGCATTGAAAGCTGTTGCCTATCCAGAGCAGCCAAGCGTGCAGCCCGCTGGCCGCGCTTGATCTCCTCCTCGAACAACACCACAGACGCCATGGATGTCGCAAGTTGGCGGGAAAGCAAGTTGACAAATAGCTGGTAATCCTCATCGTACTGTCGTCGGGGGTTGACACCAAGCACAACGAATCCAACAACCATGTCTCCAGCCGTCGTGGGATGGACGGGGAAGACAACAATAGTCCGACAGGGGTCACCAAATCCTCTCCAGTCAAAGCCTTCGATCAACTCGGTGGGTAGGCTGCCATCGTTTTCGCTCAGAATAATGGGATTGGTTGGATGTGCCATGGAGTCTCTCATGTATGGCGCAAAACCTTCATCGCTCGTCCGCAAATCAATCGATTCAATAGCAGCGGGATGTCCCTCGGGAACACCAACGGAGCCCTCCAGTGTGATCTGGGGCGGATTCGTGACACTGCCAGAGTTGATAGACGCGACCTCGCTCTCGTTATCCTCCGCAACCGAATAAATGAGGGCAAAAGGCACATCGAGTCCATTGTACTCCAGACCCTGCTGAAGCATACCCCAGAAACCTTTCACGTCGCGAGCCTGCGACGTCTTTACTCCCACTTCGCGAAGGGTCAGCATCCGCCGCTCGTTGATCTTTCGCCGGGTGTTTTCGAAGGCCGGGTTGTAAAGCGCGACAACCGTGCCGTCGCCGCCAACCAACGGAATGATAGCCCAGTTGAAAAAGGTTTCCTCCAAGAATCCATGTCGCGTTATGAACAGCCCGTCATCGTGTTTCATCGTCGCGTTACCATCATTCCATGCGGCATCGAAGATTGGTCCAATCTCATCCCAAATCTCGGGCCACGCTTCTTTGTACTTGGCGCCCATCAATTGGGGGTGTTTCTTTCCGGCAAGCTGAATGTAGGCTTCGTTGTAGATGGCGACAAACTCCTCGCCCCAATACAGTGCTGCCGGATGGGGACTGCCCATGATCATATTCGACATGATGCGCAAATCCGCCGGCCACTCCTCCACAGGTCCCAAGGGCGTAGATGCCCAGTCAATAGAGCGCGCGAAGCGGTGATGAGGGCCAAGATTTGGGTCGTCGGCAGGAATTCGGGTCCAGTCGAAAGTTGTATAAACCTGCGAGAGGGGGAGTACCATAGGCAGTTCGTTCAATCCTGCCAGGGAGGTGTCGATGATGGTTCTCGAAGGGCTCCTAGGCTCCGAATAAGACCTTGGGCGGGGCGAGCCGACTTCCTCCATTGGGCCAAAGTAATCAATAGCATCTCCACGCTCGGGCGAAAGTTCGCGGGCTGATACTGAGCCGCGTGAGCTCCGGCTTAGTACTGGGGGCATCTGTGCTACGGGGCTCGGCGTGGTCGGTGTATCGGAGACAATGTTGCTATGTCCAGTGACAACTCGAAACCGCTTTCTGAGAGTCGAACACGTCCAGTTGATCCCGCCAAACGTTATGCATTTCGAAGCCAAATTGATCGATTCGGTGTTTGCCTCGGGGTTGATTATCCAATGCTTGAAATGGGCGAAATCGAAACTATCTGCTTCTGTGTCTGCCGTGTCCCCATTCAGGAGTTCCAAAACACTAGTTGAGGCTTTGAGGGAAGGGTTAGCATACACGATATGCAACAAGCCTGAGCTGGCATTCAAAGGGTTTCCAAGGTCGACGATAAATACCGGCCTGGGATCTTGGTCCAGGAGTTCAGTGGCGGGTATGGCCTGAAGCCCTGGTGCCACTATTACGAGAGGCCTGCCATCTGGACTGCGCATCGTAGCATCTAGCGATTCTGATGAAGTCCAGCTCCCTGGTGTGCTGGAAGATCTGTTTGAACCCTGCGCTGTGGTAGTGGTGACATGACCCTTCGGCAGGCGCAGGGTCGTTACCCCGTCCTGCGTCTCTTGGACGCTGCTCATGATGGAAGCAGCAATGCCGTTTGCGAAGAAGCTGTGCATGCGGGGAGTCGGATGTTTTTGTTTTGCTCGGTGTGAGAAGAAAAGGGGAGACGAGACTCCTTGCACGGGGGAAGCGAGTTCGTCGGGGGTGCGTGGTAAGGCTGGTAGCTGAAGACTGCCAGGCGCTACTAAACGCGGTTTTTTCGAGGGGGAATCGAACGGTCGCAACTCTTGTTTGGCCTCGACGGTGATCCTTTTTCCTAGTGTAAGCTGCGCGCCTCCTGGTCCAATTTCGAAGGGTGGTGTTGCTAACGGCTGCGGGTGGCCAAACTGCCCCGAGAGAGGTGGGATCGAGAGAGCACCAAGATGTTCGTGAGGCGCCTTGTTGGCTATCGGACCATACCGTCCGCTATTCGGCGCCCAGACGCCTGGAAATCTTCCGTCGCGAGTCCCAGCAGTTAGGCCTGAGAGGTGGTGAGTTTTCGTCCAGTCTTTTGCCTGGAAAGGGTTGAGATGAGTAACCGGGACCGAGCGATCAGATGCCGGAGGGATGGAGGTCAACGATTGAGGGGGATCTCCAGCAGCTGTCGTCGCGATACCAAAGGCAGAAGCTTTGGGAAGGTCCGCACCCGGATTGATAACGTCCTCAGCGGAAGTTCGGGACTTGTTCGTATCTTGCAGAGTCATGAAGGGGGTCGGTGAGGAAGAGGAGTCTCCCCGCTAGTTCGAAGCGGCGCTTACGGCACAGAGGCGGGTCACGCCAAACCTTACTGCCTTGCGCGAAGGACAGTCGGGAGCCGGAGCCGAGATCGCCTTTGGTACCAAGTCTATCGTTGAGGGCGGTCGTGTGCGCTGGGTGACGGATGGGCACAAAAGAAGCTCATGCAATAGGTTGGCAAACCCAGGGCTAGGGCCATGGAATGGAAGCGGCGCAAATTCGTCAAAATTCTGGGGTCGGCGAAGGCTGAAGACGTGGAGCCAGTGCGGGAGCCGAAGAGGGCAGCGGAGATATGGAGATGTATGTATGTACGTGTTGCTTGGTCTGAGGAGGGCTTTGCTGGTTTGGCTCCCTTGTTGAATCCCAACGAGGAATGGTAGCTGGGAGTTGAGGTGGAGCAAGACTGAGCTGGGAACTGGGATGTGGCAGCTCGGATCTAGAACCTCTTGCCTCCGACTCTTTGATGGAGGGTTATGCTTGTCGTCTTGGACCTGCCAGGTCGGATTCAGAGCAGGTGATCAACCACTTTTGCTATTTTCCCCCTTCCCGTCGTGGTTTGGCACGTCTGGTAGTGCGTCGGGCGTCCAATATCTCTTTTGCGGATAAACAACCAACTCTCAACCCAATATCAGGTATTGGCTGTTGATTAGAGCTACCACTTGCGGCCTTTTTGCTAACTCCAAGTCTTACTCTAGGCAGGTCTTTAGGATGACCAAGGAGAGAGACAAGAGAGAGCTCAGCTGAGTCTTGGGTTCCCTGTCTTGGCACACTTTTCCAGGTTGTCTCGTCTTGTTGGTCGGAGGTGTCTCCGTCTTTACAGTCTCTCTGATGGATCTTTCTGCTGTTATTATGGACAGACGAGAGTTCGCGGTGTCCACGGGGAGAGATAAGATGACAGACCTTCGGCCTTGACTGTGCTACTCACGTGGTCTTGCTGGTGCACCTCGGGGGAATGAGAGTGTCAACCGGACACGGTCTTTCAAAGTAAGAACGGTGAGTGGCTGGTTCAGCAATAGTTCCGATGCCACCGCTTTCCAAAGATCCAGAATGCTTCAATGCTAGCTGGGCGAGGGGCAGCAATAAAAAAAGGGATAGGTAACGAGGGGATCCGTCTCGCAGCTAGTGCGAGAGGCGTAAGGTAACGTATGGAGTATGAAGTGCGTGTAGATTTTGTGTAGTTAGGTAGAGGTCACGGTAGGTATCACCGTAATCTCGAGCTGGGAGTGTCCACGTCCACGTCCACAGTCGGGCGTCACCTCGCACACGAAGCGGGGGGTCGACGACGGAACTGACAGAGACGGACCAGGCACGAGGACCTAGGACCGAAAGAGAAAGAGGGTGTCAAGAATGGAGTTGAGATGAAAGGCTGAGGTAAGTAGGTACGTAGGCAAGTAGTGGATAGGTGGGCGAGAGGGCAGCAGGCCGGGGAGGATGATGGATGGAACCTCAAGGCATGCCCCCGGCGTCGCAGGATGCCAGTGGCAGACGGCAGAGGTCGGGTCGGATGTGGTTAGGCGAGACAGGAGGACAGCCAGGACCACCAGGAGAGGGCGGGCAGAGGTCAGAGACTGAATCGAATGTTGAGGTACGGGTGTGTCGGGTGTGTCTGGTGCGAGTATTGTGTGTGTATGTCGCCGAAGACGGTTTGAGTTTTGGATGGACGTCTGCCAATGTCTCGCCGCTGCGTTCCATACAATGGCGCGAATTGAGCACGGACCGGAAGGTAAGGTAAGATTCTGTAAGGTACTGATACCGCTTGATTTGGTGTCGTGAGCGGAAAGAGGCTAGTTGATACAGTACTGGATGGTGTCACGCCGAAACAACAAGCGTCATGGAGTATCGTATCTCGTCTTGGGTGCGTCTGCGCCTGCTGTATTTGAGCCTGCCTAGACAGATCACGATCGGGACTTGGAACGTACAAGGTTAATGGCCGCTTCGGCAGCCAGACAGTTGACAGAAAATGCTCTGGCAGAGTCCAGCAAAGTCGTGCCCCCCGTTTTTGCCTTGAAAACACAGTGGTGAACTGGCGACCGACGAGTCTCCACGGGGAAAGGGCGGAGAGACGGGAGCCACAACAAGCCAAGCAGAGACAGCCAAGCAGGGATGGCGGCGGTCGATGACGGTCCAGAGCCCAAGGTTTCCGTCTTGTGTAATTTGACTTGCTGTGGGCCACAACCATTGCATCCATACCACCCATACCTACCTCGTTCTGCAAGTACGTACCTCGATACAGCAATGCATTCATTCCGCACATTAGGTAGGTTCATTCGATCATGACAGAAGCCAGCCAATGTGCCCCCATCGCCAGCCAATGTGCCCCCATCACCTTACTTTTTTTTTTTTTTTTTTTTTTTTTTTTTTCACTTGCTACGGAAATTCATGACTTTGTGTTCGAGGAACCTGGAAGACAAATTGGAAATTGGAGGAAAAACAACTTTCTAGGGAAAAATAAATCACACATCCCGATGACCCGCCGCCGCCGCAACTTGACACATCCCGAATAAGAAGGCGCGCTTCAAACTTAGTGAAGCCCTGGACAGCAGCAATATCGGCTCGTAATTCGGAATATGATGTGTACTTCGCGCAGGCGTTGCGGCACACCATGTACCCTACAGTGTTCTCAGCATTGACAAACGGCTCCTTGGAGACAGCTTGTTCGTAACAACGAACTTCAAACCCTTCGAATCTGGTCTGATACCGATATACCTTACCAATCCCAATCTGTCATCGCCGAGACAGAATCAATACTTACACAGTACCAGCAGGGCGCAACTTTTGGCTTCATTTGAGGCTGTCGGTGAGGACCCAAAAACACCACCGCGAGATCTGTGTTGGATTGCTGCTTCCAGGGCAGATCTGCTCTGTCCGTACCTACTTCCAATCAACGTCGTCTTACCCTCTGCCGGCCTCCGCAAAGGACTGTCAATCCGCCAAAAACTCTCCATAGTCCATCGCGACTCCGATGTTCTTACCAACCCGATCGAGATTCGGGGCTGCGGTGTGCAGGACGACAGTGAGAGATGGACAGTTGGTCATCTACCGCCGACAAGCTATTGCTTTTCCAGCCATGATTGTCCCCCGTCCGGCGCGTCGATGTCACCTTCTCACCGGTTCTCCGACATGCCCTGACACTCACTGCCTGACCCCTTGGCCCTTGCCGACGTCGACAAAGTTCCAATTGCGTTACAACAGAGGCTCAAAGAGCTGTCCGTTCCAAGGCTTTTGTTTCAATACCAAAATCACGTAGAGAGCCCCCACCGGTGGCTCCCCAGGCCGGCTCGTCTTGTTTGAAACACTGACAGGCGGAAGGAGACGGGCAGCCTACGATTGATGGGCCCCGCCGATCTCGTGTTCTGGAAGGGCCCATTTCTTCCTCCTTCGGGTGGGTGAATTCTTGGCAAGCCAGATCTGCCCAATGCCGTGAGTCTTCTGTTGCCCAGCACTCCATCTTCGCTACTTGAAGAGCCGTAGCACACGGTACATAAAAAAAAAAAAAACACATGTTGCCGTTTTCCCACAACTGTTGTGAACTGACTTCCAGGGCAGGGCTTTGATTCCGATCAGAGAGATACTGATATGACATGAGGAGGCGCTTATGTCGTAGCTTGGATCTGAACAGGGCTGACTGAGAATTGAAACAAAAAGTCCCATGAGCAGTAAGACCGGCTTTTTGTTGAATGCCATCCGAACAAGGCCGCCTTGTCTCCCAAAAGGCCATAAAGAGCCCGACTTGTCCGCCTCAACCTTGGAACCCCCAGCCTACGTGTATACTTTGCCGGGTGCCTAGGTGTTGCCAGGTCACTCGGTCCCTACACTATAATGGCGGGCAGATCGACCACAAACCCGTGCACGAAACACGGCGCATGCCAGCTCACCCGATCTGGAAGAGGTTAAAATTTTCATTTTTTTTTTGGGTGCGAGTACGCAAAGACTCCACCACCGGACCGCCGATCTTGGGGCTGAAATTCTCGGGCACCGAACGGAATGCACTCCGGAGAGGTGGGATCGCTAACATGTCACTTGAAGAACCAGAGAAGCTACGGGTGCCTGCTTGGAATCGTCGATGAAGTGCGCTGATACAACCAGCGGACGTCTTAGCGCGGCTCAAGTGGTAGGTGGTATTAGGGTAATTATCGATGATGCTCAGAAGATCCAGATCTGAGCATCTTTGTTATGTAAAGAGCGGCATGCCGAAGGATGAATTCGAATATTCTGGACCTTTGGATGTGCATTCTTTTTTTTACGAAGCCACCGAGATGGTTGTTTGGCCATGAGACCTCACGGCAACAGGTCACCATGCAGTCCAATGGCAGTTAGCTACCGCACCCGGCGATATTTTCGCTGGTACTCTTTCTGTGTGTGTGCTTATCACGGGTATAATATCGGACGCATGCCCAGCAGCTGCTTAGCACAGTACCTTCGATGACCATGGGATTTTCCGATGGCAGCACCAAATCATAAACATTGACAGGTACAGACATTCAGCCATCTGCCCTTACCCCGTCGACGAACAACACAACGCGGGATCTGCCATTGAAGGGCTCGGGTTCTGTTGCCGAAAGAAAGATGTCATTCGCACATATCCCTTTCGTCGCGTGCACGGCGTGCTGGCGCTTCCCAACGACCAAAATGATACCTTGACATTGACTGCATTTCGATAGGCCGAATCCCCGAGCCCACGAGACAGGCGGCGGACCGGTGGCAGCATGCGCGGGTGGGACGGGGGTCGGTGAACGGTGAGCTCCGATGGCATTTCTGCCAGAAATCAGAATGCCGCCCTTTTGAGCCCTAACCCCCATCCTCCACACCTCGGCAGAAGGCTCAACTGGCTCCACTAGACGACAACCCTCACCGGCTGAAGTCAGATCCGTAAAAGTGGAATCTTGTCCGCCTCGTCATCCACTCGCGGCGGTCGATCGCGCTGGGGCTCGGGCCGTTTTGTACGGGGGCTGAGCACTGACCAAGGGGCCAAGCTGTGCTTCGAAGATTTCAGGTTCTTGACGGCTGGCAGTACATTTTGATGGCCTGTGATTGGCCAAGTTCTCGTTCTGTCTGCCCGTCATTTTGGCTTCCTGTTCGCCTTGAGCTTTTGCGGACAGCGGGGCGATGGTGAGTTTGGTGACAGTCACAGTGATAGCGACAGTGACAGGCCGGGGGCCGGCGGCGAGCAGGGACTGTCAAATATCAATTGGTCCTTTTTTCGTCACCCTCTCACGGCCTCACTCGACCCTCACGGTGTTGCCCCCATCATCGCCTTCGATGCACTAAGCATCTAGATTGCTGGCCAATCGACACAGGTACGGCTTTTGCAGATAATGGCTTCCAACAGCCGACTGCCGACGAAAACAGTGGACAGTGGGCGGATAGCCTACACTACAAGCGGCGATGTCTCGTCTCTGTGCTGTGGGGGCCTTTCTTGAGGACTCTGTCTCAGTCCTCTGATTCGGGCAAAATATTCAAGTGCCGGGCCAAAACCGTTGGAGTTAGACCTGTCGCTGGGCCATGAGGTGATCACCCTGCTGATGGCACATAGGAGAGCGCCTATCTCTGGCGGCTTCTGTTCAATGATTGAATCGACCCCTTTTCGTCTGCCGTTGTGTCAAGACATCATCTCCCGACCTTCTGGACATATTGCGCGAGCGTGCCGTGATGAGAGCTTCAGGGCGTCTATCAGGCCCAAAAGTCTTTAGGCAAAACACTGTTGCACACTATGGGCCGGCGATCATCTCCTCCAACAGCATCATCTTCAACGGAAAACACCCCTTTCGCGATGGTGATGTGCTGCAGAATGTAAGGCAAGAATAAAAACACCCTGCATCACTTAGATTGACAGCTTGGCATTTTTTAACACCACCAGTGGTGTCTTGAAATTGTTGGGTACAGAACTGCAGATTATATGGCATCTTTTGTGTTCCCCATCCTGATGCACTTTGCCCTTGGGGCTGAATGGCGATGATGGTGATGATCCCGCTTTCTTCGCCGTCAAGGCCCCGGCCGTGTCTTGCTCGCCACTATCAAAAGCAACAAGCTCGCACCGAAACAAGCAGGTGGGTGGGCGTGTGTACGGTAACGGGGTCGTTTGGTTCGGTTGCACGCAACAGTCCGCCAGAGTCAGAATCCGTCACTTCACCATTCGCAAATCCCAACAGTCCAACCGTGAACCAAGGTCTTCGTGCTCGGTGCCGCGCGGGATTGGAGCACCAGAGGGGATGGCGGGCGCTTACACGCCGCCAGTGCAATTCAACCACGGCCTCCGATTGGGCGGTTGGCGTGATTGACCTGGGGCCATGCAGCCCATCAGCCTGTCTGGCATTGGCCCAAGAGATTTTTGCCAGAGCTCTTCCGGGGGCGGACAAGGGTAACACTGAGCTTGTTCTGCTATCCTCATCGAGGCAGCCAAGCACTATTGGTCCGACAGGTCGGTTGGTCTGCGGCCACGGGAAGCATAGAGGATGGATGACCTTCTGCGAGCAATCATGAGGGCCGCTCCCATCTTTCCAGGGTCTTGGTTTGCTTGTGTCTTGTCTTGGTCTCTTAAATCCTTTCCCGTTCCCTCCCAAAAGGTACTTCGTCAGCCTCCTTCTTGCGTTTTCCAGCTTCTACGGTTCCCTTACCCAAATATCGCCCTCTTCAGGAATTCAGTTGTCGACTGTCTGTCGTGGGGGTGGTTTTGAAAGATTCGAGAAAACGACAAACGACGATATCTTGGCCATTCGATGTGAGCCGCTTGGGAAGTTGCTGGTAGTTCAGCATCATCGGATACATACAAACATACAAGGACGATAAACGCCCACGAACGAATTATAGATAAGGAAGACGACAAGGACGAGTTCTACGATTACCAACATCAAACGCGAGAAGGGTTGAACATCAAAAGGAGGACCGCGATATCAGACGACTCACTGTGCTTGGGAAAAGGATATTATCTTTTCGGCTTGGCGATAACACAACACATCAACACACATCCAAAATGGCGGCAAAGGGATACAGAATCCTCCGGAGGCCATGGCGAGTAAGGCGGCCACTCTACTGGGGCATGGCTTTTGAGTTGCTCGGCATCGTTGCCGTCCTCGTGCTCTTTGGAATCCAACAACCAGACGTTTTCCGGACACAATTTTGGGAGATCGGCCATCTCATGAAATGGAATTCATCACCAAACATGATTCTCTACGCATACGCCAACCACCAACCACTACCCAAGATTCCCTTTGTATGGTCACAACTGTGAGTGTTTCTCAATATAGCCGTCATGTTCTCAGGAGGGAGGGAAACAGAGTCAACTAACCTTGGGCAACCACAGATTAACAAACTTCAACGTCGCCATCTCCGTCGTCTCCCTCTTCGTCCTGCTCGTCAAGATGATCATGATCATCATGAAGTTCTTCTACCCCATCCTCGGTCTGATTGTCAGTCTCAGCCTGACGGTCCTCTACGCCGTCTCCGCCTACGGCCAAGCCGGCCCCGACTATGCCGACCCCAAGTACCCTAGTCCTGTGCCCTGGTACATCGCCAAGTCGTGCTCTGTCGCGAGGCCGTTCAACGCCGAGAAGAACTGTCAGATTGCCAAGGGCGCTTTTGCTGCTACCATTTACTTGATGTACGTTTCCAGTTCTCTCTGCTATACACCCACTCCTCCCTGCAATGTCTCGTTACTGATACAACACAACCCCAAAAAAACAGGTTCCTCTACCTCTGCAACTTCATCCTCTCCATCTGGTCCATGTGGCCCAACAAGATGCTCGACATGTACGACGACGACGACGATGACTCCTCGGACAACGAGCAAGAGACCAAAAGCCCTTCAAAGGGCAAGCAGCCCGTCGTCAACGTCACCGCTCTTCACGGCGGCATCGGCATCATGAACAGCAACGGCAACAGCCCCGGTACACCGGGCTATTACGGAAACAAGGAGTGGGAGATGCAACCCACTATGCACCAGCGGCACCAGCAGCAGCCTCCTACGAGCCCTAGGGCGATGCACATGTCGGGTGCAGGTGGGGGTGGTGGTGGTGGTGGTTATGGCTACGGGGGTGTAGAGGCGCCGTTGTTCACGCCTAGGACGCAGGCTTTCCATACGCTAGATCGGAGGTTGCCTTTGAGGAGCGGTTAAGTACGGGTGCCGCTGTGTGTGGTTGCCGAAGGGAAGTGATGATGGATGGATGTTGCACGCGGCTCGAAAATGACCGCGTGGAAGATGAGTCCGAGTTTACGGGATGAGGACATTAGGTGACCGGGTTTCCATGTTTAATTTTTGGGGACGAGGATGGGATGGAAGGAACGACCCGCGATGATGTCGACGGTTTACCTTGCTCGGGGGAAACCACGAAGGACGAGGAAGGTGCTCATCGGTTGCTCTTGCCAAACAACCTCAAGGTGCAGACCGAGGGTAACTGCCATCCGAAGCCATCTTATAGGATGGAAGGAAGGACTCAACCAAAACCATGGAGGGGACAGGGCAGTACACCTACTAGGTGGGTGAGTATTCACAACGCGGAGGGGGGGAAGCTGGATCTTTTTGTCTCTCCAGCTACATGATACCATCATCCACCCATCCATCCATTCATCATCACTGGAGCCTCTAGGCTTCCTTCCTTGTTTTCTTCTTATTGTTTTCACTTTGTACATATCTTATATACCACGGGAAGGACCGGAACGGGGATTGTATTATATTAATGGCTGAACTACTACTCGCCATCGTCATCATTGCTCAAGAGAGCAGGAATAAGTCAAAAAACGAAATAACAGGTCTTGATTGTTGACTGAACTACTACATCCCTTCTCTGCTTGGTCTTCTGTTACTCGTGAAGCACTTGATCACTTGCCACCTCCTTAAAACATCGACATGCCATAACCTCCCACCTACAGAACAAGAAGGAAAAGTCACGTCACGAACCTCACAACAACAACCCAAAAAGACTAAACAAACTCAACCAGCGCCACACTCCCCGCCTCAACCACCACCCCCAATCCTACCTTCCCACCATCACTAACCCCCTCCCCGACCCACGCCCTCTCACTTTCGCTCCGTCTTGTCACATTCGCCAACCTAACCGGCTTCCCCTCATCTAGTTCCCAATTATAGCTCCACGCATCCCAGGTAATGCCCGTAATGGCATCGCTGCCGTTAGCCATCAATCTCTTGACCACCACCTCCTTCTTGCCCTTGAAGTAAGCAGCGGGTAAGGTGAAGTTGAACGTCACCGACGGTCTCGGGACAAGCGAGGTGGGGGGAAGAGGGACGAGGCCTTCGCCTGAGGCGGTGGTGTTGTAGGAGTTCATGTTCAGGAAGATGAGCCGGCTGAGGGTGGTGGAGTGGTAGGCTGCGTAGGCGGATAGGAAAGGGGTGGAGGGGATAGGGAGGTGTTTTACTGTTGCTTGTGAAGAGGAAGAAGAGTAGGCTGGAGAGGAGGGAAGAGGAGGCGCGAGGAAGGAGGCTACGGCTATATTGCCGTAGTAAGGGGCTTTGGTGCCGATGGTGGCTTTTGTGGTGGCTATCGGTTGCCAGGAGGCGTACTATATATACCAGGGTTAAACGACTGGGTCGAGAGGTTGAGAAGGAAGAAGGTGGGGAGTGAGCGTTGTAGAAAGGAGTAGAAAGAGAACTGGGCAAGGGTAGGTACGTAGGGGTGGAAAGGAAAGGCGTGGGAAAGGGTAGATGACAAAACGTACCCGATAATTAGTACCCATGTGCATGTGTACCCTCTTGAAACCGACACTCGCAGAATAGAGGTTGAAGTCCACACCCCAGAGAGCTGCACCAAAAGGTGTTTGAGAGCCCCGGTCGGCCTTGGTTGTATAACGAGTTGGTCTCGCCAAAGATGAGCGGCGGAGCTGCAGGATCGATAGCTTTGACCTTGTCGTACTCTACAATGTGGGCATCGACCGAAGCCTTGGTCATGGAGTGGTTCATCAGGGTCCCTTGGAGGGTAACCCCTGGGGAGGTCGCGCCACTGATGTAACTATCATCGACGTCGTTAGTATCCTGTTTTGACTGGCGAACATACTCTCTCCTGACGGTTCCATGAACTCACTTGTGCGTAGCAAACAGCTTAATGTTCTTGTCCTCGTTGAGCCCTTCACCCCACGCTTTCGGTGCCTTCAACTTGTTCCCCACGCCGGCGAACGAAGGTGCGATGTACTCGTAGGTACCATTTTTAGCAAGGTCTGGACAGTTCTTCTCGAGAAGCTCTTGGATCTTTCTCGTGCCGTTTAGCCATTGGTCGACGAACTCTGCTTCGTTCCAACTGGGCGGTCTCACAGGACCCTGGGCAGAAGTAGAGAACAGATCCGGCTCGTTTCCATATGTCCATGCGAACAGCTTCCCGCCGCCCAGGGCCTTGCAGGCAAGCGGGACCGTGTCCAGAAGCGTCTGCCAGCCGGATGTCCGGTTGCCGCCTAGGCCTAGATTGAAGCCATGGATGAACTTGGTGTTCTTGAAGGTGTTGTAGGATTCAAAGAATGAAGGGCCAATGAAGATGGTGGTTGGATAATCGGATGAACGCTTGGGATCAATTGTGCCATTCAGACCATAGGGCAGCGAGGCATTGTACAGGGCATAGTCCTGCGTATTGCCGCCGACGCGGATGTACGGCTTGGTACCAATGATCTTACCCAGGTTGCCCAGAAGATTCTCGGAGAAGGTGTTTGGACGAGAGTTGTTTCCTGCAGGAAAAGCAAAGCAAAGCAATGCGCGTTTCAGAAGCTGTTAGATTCGGCGATCGTCCAAGGGGGTCTTACCTGCAAACTCGGGGAAGCTAGAGAACTCGATGCTGTAGCTGACATACCCGTCGAAGACCGGGTTGCTGGACGCACTCTCGTCGACGGATATCTGCACCGCATTAATTACTGTAGGAACGAAAGCATAGGCAATGAAGCTCAGGATTCGCCTCATGGTTGCTGAATGTAAGGGGCTAGATTATGTCGGCGTCGGTCAGAAGAAGATTGCTGCGTCCAAATTCCCGAGACAATAACTTCATTTTCGTTCGCCGACCGGCGCTGGCATGGTATTTAGATGAAGTTGGCCCATGCTGGCTTTCCGTTCCCTCTCATTTCTGCCTCTCACCACGACATATCAAGTACGTAGTTCATCTCAGTCTTAACGACAGACAGGTATGCTGTGTGCGAAGCCTATAATGCCACTCGGACTTGCAATATGTTGTAACGGGGAACCCCCGTCGATAGACGAAAACCAGAGAATAGTAAGGCCGGGTTGCATCCTCGTGTACTATGAGATGCGAGGGTATTTGGGAGTATGCGGTTGGCTAGGTTTTTGAGCCTGAATGAGGCGATCAGCAGTGCGACATGACCGAACCCCGCAAAGGGTGGACGTGTTCGATCACGATGGATGGAAACCGGGGAAATTTGTTTTATACATCACATTCCCAACCTCAGCTTACCATTCGAAATCCTGATGTTGATCTCGTCTAGTCAATATTTTCCCTTGGGGCGTGATCCCATGGCTTTTCTCGACCATTATTTGCCCGAGCCGGGCTGCTTTGGATTGGTGGAAGGTCCCGGACGACGAGATCTTGTGAGATGCAATATTGTTCCGTCCGCTGACGGGGGAAACTCAGAACGAAGATGCTGTTCGCCAATCCAGATAGTAGCTTGAGTAGCTACTATGAGATCCCAGTGGTGTAATCTGTGTGATTCGTCTCGGGGTGCAACCTTTGGGAGGACAAGACGTTGTCTGTTACCCCGCATCCCTCGATTCGGAGCTTTTTTTTGGTGCGTGATCGACACCGGGTGAGCGACGGAAGGACGGGGAGATGGGAGGGGATGAGCCGGTGCTGCTCGTGGTCGTCAGGGGTCGTCACCGAGGACTCAGGGGCGAGATGACGGCTTTTGTTTACTTTAAGGTTTCGCCAAGGCTGACCCCTTTCGAGCTCTGGCAGTTCCAGAGAGAATGTTTCCCAAATTATGTCGAGAGCTGGCTGAGCGGATGAGATGGTTTTGGGGGGCTCCGAGCACTGAAAGAATCCATGGCTGAGACTCGAGTTGGGCATTCCGCCCTAGGAATTGAAGAAACCCTCAACGCAATGCCCTATGGCCTCTCAAGAGCCGGGTGTGTTCACCTCGGTTGTTTGGAGCGAGTTGCTCATATAACACTCTTCTTGAGCGCGAGTGTCTTCGGTCACGTCAAGAGACATCGCTAGCGTTTCTTTGGTCCTAAAGACGTGGCTTTGCCTTGACGGGGGCAAGAAGCTTCCATTTACCCATCGCCCCCTGTGTCACCGGGTCTTGACACCGGTAAAGTCTCTGGATTATGGCTGTTTCTCCATGTCTCATCAGGGGCTGAAGACTTGCGAAATCTGTCGAGCAACATTCATGTTGTGTGAAGTGGTTGTCAACGCTTGCGCGGGGTTCGTCCACGTAGCGTTCCAGAATCAGAGTCCTGTGAGTCTTTGAGAAGCCGAGGTGTATGTTCGGATTGAACGCCGAATATTCCACGGAAGGACACGGAGGACTCGGGAGGAGAAGCGAGAGAGAGGAAGGAGGTTGGCTGCCGTGGCCCGTGGCTGCCGATGATAGCCTCCAGCTCTTTACCCCACCTTTATCGTGGCCCGATAAGGCCGGGTATAGACGTCATCAAGGCTAGCATTGTTTGGGGAAAACAGTCCACTAACTCCACTGCAGGAGCGCTATCCACTAGCGGTCGTCATAGCTCTATGCAGAAGCGTAGTGCTGCGAACCATCGAAAGGACAAACAACATCAGCCGACATCGCGCCCATCCAATCCAAATAACAGACGACATAAACTCGACCTTCTCCAACTTCTTCCCCGCATATTACCGGCATCCCGTTACCCGCCAATCTGCCATCTGAAGCTTTCCCCTCGCATTAACAACCGCGGCCCCCGATTTCTGAAGCACCTATTCGCTGCATACTCCCCGGCCTCTTCTCATACAAATCACTAGTCAGTGTTGAAACGCCTCGGCCCTCCTCCTCGAGACACCCACACACACCCACCCGACGTCGTCGAACTCGTGCTACAAGATGGCCTTCTTACAAAGATCCCTTTTCTCCGCCTCCAGAAACGCAACCATCGTCAGATCTCGCTTTCAGACGAAATCCCTACCACTAGTACTGCACTCATCATACTCGCGACTAGCCTCCACCATGGTTCCCAAGGTGCGTAATAAGTAAACTCGGCGATGCCGGAACAGCTGTACCTTACTAACTCCCCTTTGTTAACAGCTCAAAGATCCATCACTCTTCAAGCAGGACATTTGCTATGTCAATGGCGAATGGGTAAAGGCCCAGTCGGGCAAGACGTTTGAAGTCAATGGTATGTCTGTGCCTGCATTCCCATGCTGCTGTGCTATGCCTTTGCAGTCATGCACATATCACATACATACATACAGCTAACTCCGCTTTTCACCTCCGTAGACCCAGCAACAGGCAAGCTCATCGGTACCTGCCCCGAATTCGACGCCCAAGACACCAAGAAAGCCATCGACGCCGCCGAAGTCGCTTTCGAGACCTTCCGCCACAAGACGGGCCGCGAGCGCTCCAAGCTTCTGCGAAAATGGTACGACCTGATGGTTGAAAACCATGACGACCTAACCACCCTCATCACCTGGGAGAACGGAAAGCCGTTAGCAGACGCCAAGGGCGAAGTCACCTACGCCGCCAACTTCTTCGAGTGGTTCAGCGAGGAAGCTCCCCGCATCTACGGCGACACCATCCCCTCCTCAGTGCCCGGTAACCGCGTATGGACCATCAAGGAGCCCATCGGCGTGTGCGGCCTCATCACGCCCTGGAACTTCCCCGCCGCCATGATCACCCGCAAGGTTGGCCCCGCCCTGGCCGTTGGATGCACCGTCGTCTGCAAAGCCCCCGGCGAGACGCCATTCACAGCCCTCGCCCTCGCTGAGCTCGCCCACCGCGCCGGCATCCCTGCCGGTGTCGTCAACGTGATCACTGCTCTCGAGAACACCCCCGAGGTCGGCAGCACTCTGACCACTGACCCCGTAGTCCGCAAGATCTCCTTCACGGGCTCGACGCCCGTCGGCAAGCTGCTCATGAAGCAGTGCTCGGGCACGCTCAAGAAGCTCTCCCTCGAGCTTGGCGGCAACGCGCCTTTCATCGTCTTCGACGACGCCGACGTGGACTTGGCCGTCACGGGCGCCATCGCCTCCAAGTTCCGCTCCTCCGGCCAGACCTGCGTGTGCGCCAACCGCATCTATGTACAACGGGGCATCTACGATGAGTTCGCCCAGAAGTTCGCCGAGCAGGTCAAAAACAACTTCCGGGTCGGCAACGGGTTCGAGGAGGGAGTCACGCACGGTCCGCTGATCCACCACCGCGCCATCGACAAGGTCGAGCAACACGTCCGCGACGCCGAGAAGAAGGGCGCCAAGGTGGTGGTGGGCGGCCACAAGCTCGAGAAGCTGGGTCCCAACTTCTACGAGCCGACCGTCATCACGGGTATGACCCGCGACATGGCCATGGCGTCGGAGGAGACTTTCGGGCCCGTGGCTGGCTTGTTCCCCTTTGACACGGAAGATGAGGTGGTCAAGCTGGCCAACTCGACCCAGGTCGGCTTGGCGGGCTACTTCTTCTCTAGAGATATCCAGCGGTGCGTGAGGGTTGCTGAGCACCTTGAGGTTGGCATGGTCGGTATCAACACTGGCTTGATCTCGGACCCCGCCAGTCCATTTGGCGGTGTTAAGGAGAGTGGCTTTGGAAGGGAAGGGTCGCTCTATGGTATCGGAGAGTACCAGGTCACCAAGATGGTTACGAGCGGAGGCATGGGCCAGTCTTTGCAGAAGTGAGTTGCAAAGCTGAAGAAAGGAAAATTCTACGAAGTCTTGATGTTCTTATGATGATCATGCAGTAGCTTAGCATTGGAGTCTTGGGTATAATGGTAGTATGATTGATTGGCTATTAGGACACTACTGTAAAAGAAACAAAGGCAGACACAGATGATGCTAAACTTGGAACCAAGGACAAAAATCTCTCGCGAGTGCAAAGCTTTCCATGCCCGTTTGTCTCTCTTATTCTCTCTCTTTCTTGCTCTCTCTCTCGTTCTTTCCATGAGGGGTATCAGAAGAAACCAATCTCAAAAGGGGTATCTCTCGAAATGCAGACCCGATTCCGACCAAACCCGCAGCGATTAATTAGTATGGTAGGCTATTTGTTTTTTGTTTGTGTTGTAGTTATTAAGGAATTATTTTGGAGGGAATGTCCTCGTGTCAATCCTTCCTAGTGTATCGAACTCGAAGCGGCCCTTCGGACGCCGACGGTGCCGATGTCTAGGCGGCAGCAGTCACAGGGACGGAGGAAGCGGGTTTCTCAGCCTCAGCCTCTTCGGTAGCCGGGACGGCGGGGGCAGCCTCGGTCTCGGTAGCGGGCTTAACAGCCTCCTCGGTGGTGGTGGTTGCAGGAGCAGCCTCCTCCTTGGCAGCCTCAGCCTCGACCTCAGTCTCGGGGATGGCAGGAACCTCCTCGGTCTTCTCCTCAGCCTTCTCAGACTTCTCGGTCTTGCCCTTACCCTTGCCCTTGATCGTATCACGGAGACGAGAGAAGGGAGAGGGAGACTTGGGCTTCTCGATCTCCTCGTCAGAGGTGGCCTTCTCCTTCTTGCCAAAGGCGAAGGGGAGCGAGCTCTTGCGCTTGTCGGTCTTGACCTCCTTCTTAGGAGACTCAGCGCCGCTGGTGGCAGCGGGGACCTCGACGGTCTCAGTAGGGACAGTCGCGGGGGAGTTGACCTCGGCGGAGAGGGGCTCGGTGGTGTCAACAGCGGGGATCACAGGAGCGGTCTCGGCGACGGGCTCAGTGGTGGCGGCAGGGGCCTCATCAGCAGCGACAGGCGCAGGAGAGGCAGCCTTCTTCTTGCCGAAGGAAAGGTTCCCGAAAAGGCTGGTGCGCTTGGCAGGGGTAGGCCTGACGGGGGTCTCCGCGGCCTCCTCCTTCTTCTCCTCAGCGGGGGAAGCA